TTTTTTTTTGTATTGGGGTTTGTGGGTGAGGGAACTGATAATTGATATTTTATGTATATTTTAAAGCTTTTGTATTGCAGTAGAGTGAAAAGCAGGCAGGATCTCAGTACAACAATCACAACTATGGACCTTCAGTCTTTGAATGCACAGAACACCTGTAAAGAAAAGCCAATACTGCTTGCCTTTGCTTTGTTTACATCAGTGCATTCTGATTCTGAGCCATCCATCCTATCTTTTCATCATAACCACTGTTTTAGGGGTTATGAAATTTTAAGCTTTTTACTCGCATGTGAACCAGCTAAATATTTTTAAGTGTCTCTGTATTTGTAAAGAAAACGTAACCAGGTAGGTATTTTCCCTTACATAAGACTTGTTATTGTGGTCTCTGTTTTCAGAGTCAGCGCTGTTTCAAATAGTTGTTTCAGTCAAAGAAAAAGATGCTCTTGTCTTGAAACATTTTCTCAGCCTCAAATCCAGCCCGGAAGCCCTGACAGGTGGGAATCATCAGCCCTTTCTTAAAAGGGCAAATGCACATGGCCCAGCCTCTGTTAAGATTGGTCCCACTCACTGCTCCACGGATTCCACGTCCATTAGTGAACGTCAGTCCTGCCGGGGCAGGGCGGTGAAGGTGGGCACGCGAGGGCTGCGGCTCCTGGGCCTGGCAAACGAGTTGGGAATCTCAGTGGATGTTTTTGTTTTAACTGTGTGTGCGCGCGCGCGCGTGAGGTTTTGTAAACACCGATTTGGTTCACAATAAAGTTTACGGTATAGTTCCCAATATGAAAGCTGCATGTCGGTGTTCCAGGGAACTCACCTGGATGCCCACAATACCCTCCTCACCGGCCTCTGCCTCTCTCCCACCACCGCGGCTCCCAGGATCCCTCCACTGCCTCTGCTCCACGTGCCCCCAAGGACTCTCTCTGACCTTTGTCTACACCAGTCCCCCAATCAGTCCCCAGTTGTTAGAGCGCGGAAATCACGTTCCAAGGCCCCTCACGCAGGGGGAGGGAAGTAAATATTTACGAGCTATTTAAGGAGAAGCACCGGGACCCGAACTCGCGACCCCCACAGCACCACGCGCGGGGCAGACGCGCGCCTCGGTACGTGGCCCTCCGAGGGTCGCAGGACGAGCCCGTCCGCGCAGGCGCTGTCCGGCCAGCGGCGGACGTGGTTTTTGCCCCGCCAGGCGGCGCTGGAGCGCGGCGTGGGAGAGTTTGGGGCGCGGAGGCGAGGCCAAGGCCCACGGTTTGCAAGGCCGAGCTTGGACTGCGAGCGCCGCAGCCTCGGCTCCCGACAGGCGCGGGGCTGGCGAGCACGGAAACGGCCGGAAGCGCGCGCGCCGCCCTCTGGGACGCGTAGTTGGGCGCCCGCCCGCGCAGGCGCAGTCCGGGCTGGCGGCGGCCGCGGCCTTTGTGCTGCCCGCCGGCGGGTGAGTGAGATGGGGGCGGCCGGGCGGCGGTGGCCGGCGCCGGAGGAGGCCCAGGGTCTTCCCTGGGGCCCCGGCCGGGCTGCGGACCGCCCCGCGCGTGTCTGTGTCGAGGCCCTTTGGCCGCTTTGGGCCGGGATGGGTCGCTCGGGCGGCGGGGGCGGGGCCGAGAGGAGGGGTGGGG